CCCCAAAACCCCAAAACCCCAAAACCCCAGCCTTCATTTGAAATAATTAAAATTAAATTTGATAAAGTTAATAGAATAATCAAAAATTCTTACCTCTGAGTTTAAAATTTTATTTCTTACTTCCAGTTCTCTATATATTAATCGTGGGCAAATTTTGCATACTAGGTCTTTAGCTTGGAGGTTTTTTAAGAGGAATTTCTTCATTTTTCTAATACTAATCATACTATTCTTTCTCCTTACCTTTGAGAAAGTCAGCATAACTTCTCTTTCCTTTTGGAATTGGTTCTCCTGTTTTAATAAGCTGAATATTACTGTTGTTACTGATAACAGTATTTATTACAGTATTAATTATGGATTTATTAATAGATTTATCCATGTTTTAATTATTTTCTGTAGTTAATATATTCTTAGTAGCAGTAAATTTTTGACTAGCTATTAAAGATGACTTGTGACTAGAAGGACTTTTAGGACCAAGCTTGTTAATAGCATTTTTAGTAATTATCTATTTAGCCATATGTAATGTAGATTTTTTATTTGCAATTTATTGCTGATTCTAAAATGCAATCACATTGGTTCTTGAAGACATTCTTAAAGGTTAATCAGGACTGAAACTTTTAATCAGATCACTGTTTTGATGAACGTACTTATCCTGCCTAACTGGATCATAAGAACTATTTGAATACCTATTTTGAAGATACCTTTAATTCACTGATTAGGGTGACTTTATATGACTGAGATTTAAAGGTTTCATTCCTGAACTGGATGAGGGCTAAAGGAATTTTTAATTATCTTAATACTAACTCTGCTCATTCCTCTCACTCTCCTCTAAGATTTAGCTTTCTTGATAACTCAGAGAATTACTATCTTCTCTAAGATCAATTGAATTATCCTTATTTGATTAACCAAGTGTATTCATAGTAGTCTTTTGTTTGTCAAGAAAAGCTTTTATCCTAAGTGTGTCTTAATTAGAATCATAATTACTGCTTATATTGCTCATTGCATAATATTAAGTGCCTTGATCTTTTGCTTTTGCTTTTGGCTTTGATTATTTCTTTATTTAAAATAGCTAACCAAGATTCACAGTTTCTAACTTTAAACTATTACGATTAATGATTGATTTAGTTTATTGATAATCATCTTCACTGTTCTCTGAATATTCATTATGCCTAAACTTTTTATGACTGTCAGAACTTTAAAATATACTCATTGGAATTACTCTTCCTTCCTAAATTTTGAATGTTCTAATTGGTGGCATGTCTTCACTATCAATAGATTCCTAATCATTTGTAGACCTTATGCTCCCTTTAAAATATTTTTATCGATAGTTTTAGCTATTATTTTAGTATTCACTCATTAATCTATCGAATCCATTTTCATATTCCTGCTGGAAGGTCTACTAATTATCATCACAGTCAGGATTTTAATAATCTTCACATTCCTAATCTGCAATATTAATAGAAATTCTCTTTGAGGAATCCATTGTCATGAAAATATGCTCTCCAATATCATTACTCATGTTTGTTTGATCAATTTTTAGATTTCTTTCAGTATTATGAAACTTGGTAGAATCTGTATTTCTTGACTTCCCTAGCAAAAAGTTAGAGTTGGGGATATTTAGTTAACTTAATCTCAATTTATGATCTTAACGGAGGTTTTAAATCTATTCCTATGCTTTTTGCTCTTTATAAAATTTTAATTCAGACTTTCTTTTGATGAATGATTATAGATTTGCAAGGTCATCAGTTTAAGGACTCTAATTAATAACGCTTTCTTTTTTATTCTTTACAACAATTAGCCTATTACCTTCCACTCTCACAATAATTGGATTTTTTCCAGATGATTATTTCCATTTTGATATTTCTTCTTATTTAACTCTATCTGAATCCATATTCAAATTGGCCATGCGCATTCTTTATATTTCTAGTTCTTTCATAATGTCTCATATTTTTATACCCTTTTAAGATAAACTATTGACTTCTTCTGCTTCAGGCTCATTTATGAACTTTAATGACTCATGATAGAATGTTTTAGGTATCTTATTATTAGATTATTCGACCTATTTTTGAAAAAACTATTGAGATTGGTAAACTTTCGGAGAAACAAGAAGTGCATTTTAAGTAGAATATTTCTAATGAGGTTTCATTAACTATCAATAATCGATTAATCATTACTTAACTAATTATTCAAATTAATACATTTTATTTAGGTATTGATGATTTTTGTTTTATTACACTGTCTTTTTTTAATAATTTTTGAAAAGTGGGGTTTTGGGGTTTTGGGGTTTTGGGG